TAAAAACTTATATTTATAAATAAATCTTAGATTATATTAAAAATTAATTTAGGGTATTACACACCTATTGTAAATTGCTAGAGCATTGATATTTGAATCAAAATTACCAAAAAGGTTTTGGGACGAAGCCATACTCATAGCCACATACATAATAAACATTGTATCAAGCTCTATTTTAAAGTGAAAAACTCCTTATGGAATTTTGTACCAAAAACATCCAGATTACTTAAACCTAAAAGTCTTCGGTTCTTTATGTTTTGCTATAAATGTCAACCCCCAAAAGAACAAATTTGAACCTAGGGCTTTGAATGTGTTTTCTTAGGGTATGCACCCGATGCTAAGGCCTACAAATTATATGATATAATAAACAGAAAAATAATTTTGTCAAGGGATGTCATATTCCATGAATATATTCTCTCATACATACCAAACACAACACCCTAAACCAGATTACTATGACACACCACTGCCAATACAAGCATCGACACAGTAACCACACCTGAAAACCAGTTACAAAGAAGAGAAGAAATTCCCTTACCAAACATCATTCCCCAAGAGTCTGAAATGAGGAGGAGCATCAGGGTGAGAAGCAAGCCCGCCTGGATGGAAGACTTTATCGCCCATACCACCGAACAACCTGTGCCCGAACCTCCCTTCCTCATGTCCACCTCACCTGCATACAATCATGACTATGTTAATTTAATTGCACAAGTGTCTATTACGAAGGAACCAATGTCATACAGGAATGCTAAAAAGGACAGCAAATGGGTTAAGGCCATGCAAGTCGAGCTATTGGCACTAGAAGAAAATAACACTTGGGAACTAATTGCACTACCAAAAGGGAAGAAAGCAATCAACTCAAAATGGGTGTATAGAATAAAATACAATGCCGATGGATCAGTTGATAAATACAAAGCAAGACTCGTGGCTAAAGGTTACAACCAAGAGTTTGGCATAGACTATCATTATAGCTTTTGACCAATATATCAATTAGACATCAATAATACATATCTACATGGGGTTTGTAGAAGAGGAGCTATACTTAAAACCCCCATAGGGCTACTTCAAGGCCAGTGAAGGGCAAGTCTGTCGTTTAACCAAGAGCCTGTACGGCCTGAAACAAGCCGGTCGTTAGTGGAACAAGGAGCTTACTTCAAAGCTCCAATCCATCGGCTTCACCAAGTCAGAAGCCGACCTCTGTCTATTCACAAAAGTACAAAAGGAAACTACATTGTAGTTGTGGTATATGCGGATGACTTACTTGTTATGGGTCCTAACGACGAAGAGATTTGTGAAGTCAAAAACGCCATAGATAAAGCTTTCATGACCAAGGACCTTGGCCAAACAAGATACTTCCTTAGAGTCGAGATAGCTTGGTTAAAAGAAGGGATTTACATCAGCCAGAGAAAATACATTAAAGACATTTTACAAGATACAAAGATGGAAGATACGAAAGAAAGCCACTTTCCCCTCCTTTTCAAACTAAAACTAAATGCAGAAGAAGGAGAAATCTTACTAGATCCGGAGAGGTACAAACGTCTTTGATTCACACTCTTCTTTATAGCAATTGGCATGTTTATAGTAATATTTATGGTGAAGACAATACTTGTTTGGATCATCTAGCTAGGTTGGCATAACATACTCTTACAAATCTTTCCAAGCTCGATCATCCTCTAATAAGTTGAAGAGATTGCTCTATATTGATCACCGTGATACATCATGGGCTTGTCTTCTTAGGGCATAGTATCTTTGTTTTATTATTATTATTATTATTTTGCCTTTTTCCTATTTCGTAACCAAAAGAATGTAGCTTGTTTTTAGTAATTATATTAATATATTATTTTGGCTATTAAATTTATTAATCTATTATAAAATTATAATTATAATTATAATTAATTTTGTTCATTAAAGACCAGACACATCATTGCAATGTAAATGCATTCTTATTCAATTGTTTCATCAAGAAATTATTTATATAAAGAATGCACATTAATATTTATATTTTATTATTAATTTAGCAAACAAATCTTAATCTGTAAATTTTATTAGTTAATTCAAAATTTGCCAATCTTTATTGAAATTTGATACTCTATCCATGTATACTTTTATATATATCCAATTAAACTTTGTGCACTATTTGATAGTATGAAAATAACATAACTAGACATAACAATTAACCATTGATTTTCATAATAGTTGGAGTGTATTTTTTCAAAATGACTCACAATCAATGTTTTTTGGTGATAATTGTAAGCTATAATAATTTACAATTTTATCCTAAATAAGTAAAATATCTGATAAAAAAAAGTAAAATGAACATATGCATCATAATCTTATTTGCAAAAATTAATGATTTTCTCCATGTATTATTAATGTTTATTCAAAATAGTCTCTACCTTAATTTTTGGTGAAATTAATCCTTATATTTTTGAAAAACTTCTAATTTAGTCTCTCATATTAATCTACTATTAACGTCATTAAGTCTGTTACCACATATCAAACCTGACATTATATGGCACCTTATGATTGAGTATTGAATAAGTGAATGTCATATCAGATGTCACGTGATATCTGATGTAGCATTAAAAAAAATTAATTTGTATAATTTTAAACCGACTCATAAATTAAAAAAAAACGAAAAATTACATCTCTTGTGCCTCATTCCTCTCCATCATTAAACATGCCAAAACTAGTATATAAATCTTGTCTCTTTATTTAGTTCAATTTCGATATTTTTGATGCAGGGGCTTGCTAGTGGGGCTTTGACAGGATAACACAAAGCTATAGAGGAGAGAGATTTATTGGGGGTGATGAAAATTATAAGCCATAGTGCACCAACGAAAGAGCAAAAGAAAAAAAAAATCCAAAAACACGAGTTAGTGTAACTGTTTAAAGATAGAACGAATATTGGTGTGAGATATGCAAAGGTTTGAAAAGAGAAAGCAACAAATGTGAGGGAGAGACAAATAAATTAAGTAAATTTAGCTATAAAATGGGAAGACTTTTTGGTTTTCAAAATAGGAAAAAAAATAGAAAAGAAGGGAGGGATTGAGAGCAAAACAAAAAGGAAGAAAAATATTATTTTTGTAAGTAAAAAAATAAAGAAAAGTTTGAGAAAAACATTATTGTCTATCTACTCAATTTCTGATTCTTTTTTGTGAAGAACATAAATCTCGTTGCCAGCACAAATAGCAGATGTGATTGGTCATAATCAAAGGTTTACTTTGTGTTTGTTGGATTCAGATGACATCATATTGGACAATGGCTACTCTTTGGGTAGGCTCGATGGTTTGAATCCTCTTCATTGGTGATTGGCACACCAAGAGCAACGATTATTATTCCTTCAAAGCAAATACCGACTCATTATCCCTCTTGTTCAAGTATGCAAACTTTCAAGATTGTGTCTTCCTTTATTCTCTATTGAACAGGAAAATCCATAAAAAAAAACCTCCCTCATAACTTAAGTTCAAGAGATGTAGTTATGACCTTTTTATTTTTTAATTTGTGAACTGATTTTAATTGATTCATATTAAATTTTTTAATTGCACATCGAATACCACATGACATATGATGTAATATTCACTTGTATATAACATAATTATAATGTATCAAATGATATTAAATTTGACACATAATGCTAGACTTAATGATATTAATAACAGGTTAAAGAAGAGACTAAATAAGAATTTTTCAGTAGTACAAGAAGTTATTTGATTAAAAATTAAGACATAAATTTAATAGTATTAAACTAAATAATTATTTTTGTCGAACTTTATGCTATTATGAATTTAATAAATTTTAATTACATTGTAATAAATTTTTTGAATTTAATAAATTTAATAAAAATCTAGAATACATCTTTTAAATATAATATTTAGTTTTAAATGATATAAATTTTAATCATTTAAAATAAATATAATTAATAACTAAATTCAACAAAACTTTTTTGAATTTATTTCAAACATAACAAAATATTTGGGGGAGTTTCGATCGTTAGTTTGAACTGTTATTAATAAATTTGTAATAAATGTATAATTTTTGTAAAATTTATTTTTAAGCATAAAATATCAAAATTTAATAGAAGGTTAAAAATATTGAATTGATATGAGATTTATGTACAATTTAGTTCTACCACAATTATTAGAATTTAAAATATACGTTTATTTTAGATAAAATTCAGTATAAATTTGAATTTATTTTTTATAGAAATTTCAGAATTTTTTAATTAAAATAAATATAAAATTATAAATTAATTCTACATAAATTTTAAATTCATTTCAAATATAGCACAAAAAATTAAAAATTCACAAACAAAATTCAGTAGGAACCAATTAATTGGCTTTATTTACATTTGAATTTTTATGACTTTGTTTATTTTTTAATTTATTTAAAATCAAATTGCAAAAACATACATGTAATAATTATAAAAGTAAAACTATGAGAATTATAATAATTTTAAATATCTAATGATTTAAGTTCAAGTTTTATATTCTGTTTCGTTTAAATTCAACCAACATCAAATTTTATTTTTTATTTCATAAGAATATATTGAATAAAATAATTCTCCATTCATAAAAGATAAAAAAAAAAACCCCATAACCATGTGTGTTTTATCACATTGACAATTAATCGATTCATGATTATTATCAACAAATTTTATTTAATTATTTGATTAATAGAGTAATAATATAAAATAAATATATTTAAATTTAAAAGATTAACATTAAAAATAATTTAATCAATTATTGAAAACAAAAAAAAATGTAAAATAATGAGTAAAAATTATGTTATGTGTTTACTATGATTCTTAAAAAGTATTTATGTGATAAATATACTTAAATCATAATATTTATCTTCAAGGATACGAGTTATATGTTTATCTCTTGAATTTTTTGAGGAAAAATTTATGAGAAAATCCAATACGACATCGTATTAAGGTTCCTTGAAAGTCTAGAACCGGAGTAAAGTGGAACAAACAAAAGAGGAAGAAAACCTTTTCTTTCCAAACAAGAAACGGAGCTACTCTCCCTATAAATTCGCAATCCCTTTCTCTCTCTTCAGATCCCAAAACCAAACAACAACCACTTGCCCATTAATCTCTCTCTCTCTCTCTCTCGCTCGCTCGCTCGCTCGCTCTGGAACTCAACTCTCTTCTCAATCCGCCATGTCTAACCAAGCTGAATCCTCCGATTCGTGAGTACCCAGATCTCCTTTTAATTTTTTTCCTTTTTTCTTCAATAGATTTGTCTTTTCGTTTCTTATTGTGGATTTTCTTTAGTACGATTTGATTATTGATTGATTGATTCGTGGCAATCGTGTACACAGTAAGGGAACCAAGAGGGATTTTAGTACTGCGATTTTGGAGCGTAAGAAGGCACCGAATAGGCTCGTTGTTGATGAGGCCGTAAACGATGACAACTCAGTTGTGTCTCTTCACCCGGATACCATGGAGAAGCTCCAGCTCTTTCGCGGTGACACGATCTTGGTTAAGGTTTGATTGATTCCTCTGGTTTCTATATTCGGGTTTTCATGTGCTTGCTTTTATTGTGTTGTAATGTTATTGTGTTGTAATGTTATTGTGTTGTAATGTTATTGTGTTTCAAGTTTGATTGGCTGGGTTTTTGTTTTCTTCTTGTGGGTATTTGGCGATTTAGGGTTTTTGTTAGTCGCCTAATTATGTTTCCTCCTGGGTTTATGGGTTTTATTGTTGATGTTTAAGATCTGTGAATTGCGTTGCTTGTGTTAGTTCTCGCTGTTCATTTGAATGTGGAAGGAAGTTATTATAAGCGTCCGTCAATTTCCAAATTGGGGGCCTTTTTGTTTTAGTGAAGGAAAGGGAAAAAAAAAATAAAAGGAAAGGGAAAACGTAATTTTTGAAGTAAAGGAAATATGTTTCTCTTGTTTTGATGATTAAAAATAGAAGAAAGGATTGTTGTAATATTTTGTTTGGTTTTACTTTAAATACACTATAATGTTTGTATTAAAAGAATGATAATTTAGGTGGTAAGGAAAAAAATAAAAAAATTCTTTTCAAAATTATTAAATCTTTTTCTTTCCCGTCCATTTTCCCAAATTTGGAGGAATAGAAAAATTGGAATTTGAAGGATGATTGTGATCCCTCTTTTTTCTTTTAACTAATTATTATCTTTGAGAAAAAGAGGGAGACCATCTTCTCCTTTCCTTTCTTTTCCTTTCCCTTCACTTCCCTCAATCCAAATATACTGTAAGGTTGTCTTTAGTTTATTTCTTATATAATTTTCCAACTAATTACTAGATTTTTATATTGTCTTGATATGCATAACCATAACATGTTCGTATATAAATTATCCCATCCTCATCATGATTCCTTGATTGTAGAAATGAATTTCATTGTTGAGAGGGAAGAAAGTGATGGAACTCAAGATGAGTCAGGTCACTCTGCACATGAAAAATTAATGTTTTTGCTATACATAAGAAGATATAAAAATTGCAACTAGGAATTAGCTAAAAAATTGATTACTAGGAGCTGTTCGTGTGTCAAGTGTGTGTTTGATTTACATTTTATGGATAGGTTATGGACTCGGCTGACACAATCCATCTACTTGTTGGACTTGGCTGACATCGCCGATCTACTTGTTTGACTTGGTTTACATCCTTGTTTAGATAATGATTTATCTACTTCACGCTCTTTAATAGATATTCGTTATTTATCCCACAAAGTGAGCTGTTTGCAGTTAATGTATTTGATTGTTGTCTGCTCTTACTAGCCCCTATGTGCACTCAGTATATGTGGAGTTGTTCCCCAGTGATATGTTTGGGATGGAGTTGATGGACCTTTGATAATTTTCCCTCTTTAATTGTTAAAAAAATCTCTATATTGATGTATATTTTGGAATTGAAGTTTGATCATTTGTTACTTGGAGATAACTTCTCCATCATTCATGGTTTGCCTCTGATTTTCAGGGAAAGAAAAGAAGAGATACTGTCTGCATTGCCCTTGCAGATGACACATGTGATGAACCAAAAATTAGAATGAATAAGGTTGTGAGATCGAACTTAAGGGTTAGGCTCGGGGATGTTGTTTCTGTTCACCAATGCCCTGATGTTAAATATGGAAAGCGTGTCCACATACTGCCAATAGACGACACTGTTGAAGGAGTTACTGGGAATCTCTTTGATGCATATCTAAAACGTAAGTTTCTTTTTTCTTCTTTTCGAGAATACATAGAACATGTAAACTTATTTTTAATCTTCTATTCTTATCTGGTTTTCTGCTGTGGGTATAACATTTATCAATCTTTATTTTGAAGTCATATGTTGCTAGGTTTGAAGTAGCGTGTTCTGCATTTTGTTTGCAGTGCATCTCTTTTTGTAAAGCTAGATGTTTAGATTTCATTTGGTACATGGAAATGTTTTTTAGTTCTTAATTTCAAAATTATATGTACTCCATTCGCAAAATTATACAAGTTAGTTAATAATGAAGAGAACAATAGTGAATGATAATGCTTGAATTATAAAATTTAAAACATTGTTTTTGTTTTTCACTAGAAAGCTGATTAGTTTTTGCTTTAATTATTATATCGGTGTACAACTCTATATACTTTCTTGAATAAAATATGCATAAACAAATATGAATTTAGAAAATGAGAAGTAAAAGGTATTTCTATGTACCAAAAAGAGCCAAACAGACTCTTATTTTCTGAGGTATTTTGGATGGATTCCATGTCTCTGGATGAATATGTAAAAGGTATAAAAAGTATTGAAGTGTGATTCATTTTTAAAAAATCTAATATCTCTAGCTCTGTGACATAGAGAAGCAATCATGTTGCACATAGTTCCACCCTGAGCTGAGTGCTGGCAGTGTACCCTACCTTTGGGGTTAAATAAATAGTGTCATTTAGCTTTGTTAGATTGTACAACTTCTTCTCCTGGAAAAGGATTAAGTGGGTTTTCATTATAATTCTATTTTACAAATAGCATATAATAATGAAAATTTAAGGCGATATGTAATGACATTGAGTTTGCTTTTGATCTCCATTTCCTACAAGTTCAAAAAGAAGATTATATTGGTGACTGTAACAACTTTGTTCTATTAGAGATTGTATGACCCAGCAGATGTAGAATGATACTTGAGAGAGGAAATAGGAAGTTAGGTGTATAATCAAGCAACGGTGAATTCTTTTGGTATGAAAGCCAGGAAAATAGAAATGAATTCTCTGTGTGGTAAATTATATTAAATTCTGAAGAACTGTCAAATTCCAATATTGTGCCTCTCTTTTATAGGCTGGATTCTTCTGAAATAAAAACCAGGAATAGAGCAAGAAATTTTCTTTACAATAAATTATCTGAAAAAACTAAAACAATATTGTGGCTTTCGCTTTGGATTCTGGGCCCTAAATGTTGTAGTAATGGTAGAAAAGTAGACCTGACTAAAAAAAGGAATTAATCTGAAATAATTGAAGACCTAGACATAGTTCCTATTTGCTATCCTAAAAAAAGGCACATTGTTGAATACCAACTCAAGTAGGGAAAAACCTAAATAAATACAAACTTAAGGGCCTCTAAATCTTTAAGGAAACTCCTACTTTTTGTTTCATCATAATAGTAACTTTACTGATCCTCTTTTGAATTTTAACTTTTAAGAGCCTCAAAAAAATTTGTTAGTCCATCACAAACAACTCTTTTTCTCGAAGCTAATTTTCTAGTAGTATTATTAACCTTTTATCTTAAAAAGAATTATCTAAAAGTTGCTTTCTGCCATTGATAGTGATATTTAAAACTTCTTGATAACCACTTCTTTGCAGCGTAATATAAATGCTTTCAAGTGGTATATATGTTTCGCAGGGGCAGTACCTTGTTGAAGAAACATGCAAAACTGTGGGTTAAAATATCTGCAAAATTTTTTATGGGAATATAAGTGTGAAACAAAGTAGTGTCACAGGCCAATTTATGTGAATAATATCTAATGCAAATCTTCATTTTGCTGACTCTTTTCTTATTGTTATGAATTGTTTTTAAACGAGAGATTCAATATTTGCAGCTTATTTCCTCGAAGCATACCGCCCAGTTAGAAAGGGTGATCTCTTCCTTGTCAGAGGAGGGATGCGAAGCGTTGAGTTCAAAGTTATTGAGACTGATCCTCCTGAGTATTGTGTAGTTGCTCCAGACACAGAAATCTTCTGTGAGGGGGAGCCAGTTAGGAGAGAGGATGAAGATAGACTGGATGAGGTTGGCTACGATGATGTTGGTGGTGTTAGGAAACAGATGGCTCAGATAAGAGAACTGGTTGAGCTCCCATTGAGGCATCCACAGCTTTTTAAGTCAATCGGTGTGAAGCCACCAAAAGGAATTCTGCTTTATGGACCTCCCGGTTCTGGGAAGACTCTGATTGCCCGTGCTGTTGCTAATGAAACTGGTGCTTTCTTCTTCTGTATCAATGGGCCTGAGATCATGTCCAAATTGGCTGGGGAGAGTGAAAGCAACCTCAGGAAAGCATTCGAGGAAGCAGAGAAGAATGCACCGTCCATTATTTTTATTGATGAGATTGATTCAATTGCTCCCAAGAGAGAGAAGACACATGGAGAAGTGGAAAGAAGGATTGTCTCCCAGCTCTTAACACTCATGGATGGACTGAAATCTCGTGCGCATGTTATTGTTATTGGGGCCACAAATCGGCCCAACAGTATTGACCCAGCTCTCAGAAGGTTTGGCAGGTTTGATAGGGAAATAGATATTGGTGTTCCTGATGAAATTGGACGTCTTGAAGTTCTTCGAATTCATACAAAGAACATGAAGCTTGCCGAAGATGTAATACCAAATGCTCCTTCCTCTATCCATCTTCCTTTTCTAAACGTAAATTTATGAGTAACTGTTTCTCTGGTTTCCTTTTTCAGGTGGATTTGGAAAGAATTTCTAAAGATACACATGGCTATGTTGGTGCTGATCTTGCTGCTTTATGTACCGAGGCTGCTCTTCAATGCATCAGGGAGAAGATGGATGTCATTGACTTAGAAGATGAGTCAATAGATGCCGAGGTGCTCAATTCTATGGCAGTGACAAATGAACACTTTCAGGCTGCTCTTGGAACAAGCAATCCTTCTGCCCTGCGTGAAACTGTGAGTATTATTCAGATACTTCTGTCGACCTAAATCCTCCTCTAATGATAACAGAACTTTTGTTTTTCCCCTTTTTTTGGTATCTAATCGGAGAGGTGTTTCTAATTAGGTTGTCGAGGTACCTAATGTCAGCTGGGAAGATATTGGAGGTCTTGAGAATGTTAAAAGGGAGCTTCAGGAGGTAATTGCTGTATCTATTTACATGCATGTACTTGCTTTCAACCAATATTTTTGAAACTGTGTTGACCTGTAATACTTTGTCATGCAGACTGTCCAATACCCAGTGGAGCATCCTGAGAAATTCGAGAAGTTTGGAATGTCACCCTCAAAGGGAGTCCTCTTCTATGGACCTCCTGGGTGTGGGAAAACACTTCTTGCTAAAGGCTATTGCCAATGAATGCCAGGCAAATTTCATAAGTGTTAAGGGTCCGGAATTACTTACTATGTGGTTTGGAGAAAGTGAGGCAAATGTACGAGAAATTTTTGATAAGGCTCGGCAATCTGCTCCTTGTGTCTTATTCTTTGATGAGCTTGACTCAATTGCTACTCAGGTTTGTTTTCTATCTTCTTCCCCCCAAAGATTATGATAACATAGTATTTGGTGATTACAAATAGGCATAAATGGCTTATATTTTCTTTTTCTTAGTTGTGTTGTAGTCTACTGTGTTGCAAGCTGCTCATGCTCTTCCGTGGTTTTGCAGAGAGGAAGCAGTGTTGGAGATGCTGGAGGTGCAGCGGACAGGGTTTTGAACCAACTTTTGACAGAAATGGATGGCATGTCTGCAAAGAAAACTGTGTTCATTATTGGTGCAACCAACAGACCAGACATTATTGACCCTGCACTTCTCCGCCCAGGCCGTCTTGATCAGTTGATTTATATTCCTCTTCCTGACGAGGAATCTCGTCATCAAATTTTCAAGTCCTGCTTGAGGAAATCTCCAGTCTCCAAAGATGTTGACCTCAGAGCTCTTGCAAAATACACTCAAGGCTTCAGTGGTGCAGATATTACTGAAATATGTCAACGTGCATGCAAATATGCCATACGAGAGAACATTGAGAAAGTATATAATTCTGCCTATTTTCCCTCTGAGTTGATTTTTGTTATTACTGGCTGTTGCACTATCTTTTCACAGAGAATTGGAGAAGTATTAACTGAGGAAATTTCTTTAATATTTTCAGGACATTGAGAGGGAAAGGAAGAGAAGGGATAACCCTGAGGCTATGGAGGAAGATGTTGAAGACGATGTGGCGGAGATCAAGGCAGCACATTTTGAAGAATCCATGAAGTATGCTAGGAGGAGTGTGAGTGATGCAGACATCCGCAAATACCAGGCATTTGCCCAAACATTGCAGCAATCAAGAGGTTTTGGAACTGAGTTCCGGTTTGCTGAGTCTGGATCAGGAGGTGCAGCCGGATCTGATCCATTTGCAGCACCGGCAGGTGGAGCTGAAGAAGATGATCTTTACAGTTAAATTTCTTAATTTGGCACAAGATAATATTTCAGTTCTATTTGTGTATTTTTTGGGTAAAAGATTATATGTACTTTTGTTGTATGATGATGTGGTAAACGTCTGGATACCAAGGAATTGAGGTCTGGGCCACTGGAGTCCTGCTTTCTCTTTTGGAGGTTATAATGGATGAACTTTAAACCTTAGAAGATCTAAATTTTAGTTGTCTGACATTATTGGAAGCTTTTCTACGATATGTTATTGGATGCTGGATTTCATAATATGTAATTCATATCCCCTTCCTTCCTCTTGTGAGTGAGTCTTTAATGTTTTCAGTATTGTGGAAAACTTCCTTAATGTTTACATGAAAAGTATTTCTTGTCTTCTTTGTGGAATACTTCGCATGCGGGGAAGGAAAGTATATATAAAATCAGTTGCCCAACAATCTTTACTATGGTGGGACTGGAGTTTTATTTCACACAAAATCAGGCGTGTCATGAGACGTGTCCCTCATGACAAGCAAGTTAGCTTAGAAAGTAAGATATTGCACTGCTAACATGGGGGAAGTAAGTTGTGTCTTTCGTTGAACTCTGCATAAAGGAAATTGTAAGACAAAAATATGCTTACAAAGCTTTCGTAAAATAACTCTTCAGATATACAGCGCAATGGTTATGTGCCCCTGACTGGGCAGTTCACACCTTGTAATTCATTTGTTTGACATGCTTGTACACCCGGATTGTTCTGTACCTCCAAAATAATGTACTAAAAATCAATACGAATTTGAGATTAAAGAATGAATAGCGGTAGTTGGCGCCTCGACTCGAGATTACATTAAGAATGTGTATTCATTCACAACGTGCAAATCTTTGACATTCATTTTACATTGACAACAAGAAGTTCATAAATGATTTTAAGATTTGTCATGATTGGAAGCGATTCAAGAAAAGCAATGTGGAAGATTTCATTTTTTTTTCTTAAAGTAATTTGTTAACATTTCGTTCATTATTGACTGTGTTTGTAATTCAGTAGTTTATTATTTAGTTAGTGTTAAATGATATTTGAAATACTCTAATAGATTCGATAATATTTTTAAGGTGGTCGTAATTATAATTTAGAAGAAAAAAAAAATGGAATATTTTAATATTTTGTTGCTTTTGATAAGAGTAAATCAGTTTATAAATTTAGTATCTATCATAATATTTACTTTTAAATAACAATATTAAATGTAGTGAATTAGTAAGTTAATTAGGTGGCTCTCTGAACACTGTCAAATTTCACTTTCACAAGATATATCTTAAATCGCCGACACCCTCTGCTCCTACCCACCGCTGCCTACTCTTTTGACTTCCACAACCCAAGTTAAAAATCTTTATTACATAATTAAAAATAGACTTTCATACTTAATTCCATGCAAATTCGAAATAAATTTCATACAAATTTTCTTGAAAAAAGTGAAAATAGAAATGCATTTAATAATCATAGAACAAAATTTTGGTAATTTAGTTAGAAATACAAATGGGTATTTTAAAAATGAACTTTTTTTTTTTTAAAATGTTTTAAGTTAATATATATTATGTAAATATAATAATACAAATGGGTTTGAGGTTGTGGGGATTGTAGGAATCATGCTTGGTGGGAAGAGAGCAGGAGAAAGGTGGGAGTCTTAAACACAATAATTTTTGGGTTGTTGATTAGACTAACCCACTTTTTGGGGAACAAACCCCACGTGAACAACAAAAAAACAAAACAATTCATAATTATCTTTACTTATTTATATATGTATTTGGGAAGCCTATGCTACTTTTATTTCTACATGAGTAACCAACCATTTTGCTATTGTTTGATTCTAAATTATTGTTGATATATTCTTATTGACTTTCAACATCCTCAAATTTATTAGTAATAATTAATTAATATTCAAGGTGTTTATAAATAATAAGCTCTAGTTAAAAAACACTAAAATACAACAAAAAATTATGAGTATCTCAATACTACTAAATAGTTAGAAGATCATTTTGTTCACTTCCATTTTTCTTCTCACTCTCATACTTATAATTTGTAATTAATAGAGAGAAATATGTATAAGCATATATACCCATTATATAAAATGCATTAAAACTCCCTAGGATTTGGTATAATATAGGTGATTATCGCAACTTTTTAAAATTGAACATGGACACCATACTTTATAAACTACTATGAACTTTTTGCCATACTTCATAAAAAAAATATGGATCCCTTGAGGGGACCTTTGATTTCTTTACTATAATGTTTTTTATTTAATAATAAAATTTACCATAAAATACTATGACTTAATGATTACTTTAATTACCACGGTTTAAAAATAACACATCTAATAAATTTTAAATAATTTTTTAAAAATTATTTACTTAAAATTATCTAAATATTTTCTCCAAAGATGAAGATGGAGAAAAAATTATACTTAGATAAATCAAAAATAATTTTCATTTATTCTATTATTTACAGAAATTATTTATATATTTAGATAATCTTTATCATAGTTAATTACTCATTCATTCAAAAGATTTTATATGCTTTGACTATCGAAAACTTATTAAATTGGCATGCTATTATTATTAAATAAAGGATATGAAGATAATCTTATCATTTTATTAAATTTAACAGCAATAATATACAATGTGTAATAATTTATAAAATAACAAAATTTTTCTATTCAATTTTTTTATTATAAATTGAGTAATTTTTAAATATTATAGCAAATTTCAAAATCTTATGTAATTTACCCCTAAAATACTCAATTTCAGAAATATCATCCACACCTTCGTTGTCACATACATATAGATATTTATTGTATCATCTTTCCTTACCTTAGATATTTATTTTATTAATGAGATCCATTCTTCTTTAACTTAATTTTTTGTTATCAAACTGATTTTAGATAATTAATCTCTCATTAGTAATACGTTAATCGAATGATTAATACTTCTTTCTCTTTCTAATTTATGAAATGTAAGAATTTGTAATGAAACAAATAATTAACCTTTCCATTTGGCAAGAGAATTGGATTAAGGCATAATGATATCTAAGGAGTAAAAATTATAAAACTAGTTTCACTTATTCATTGATTAAATGGTTGATATTTTTTTTAAATATAAGATTGTTAGTTTGAGTTCTTATATTTGATATATTATAATTAATACGTATATGTCAATAAAATATACTAAAATTACATCTAAAAATAGTTTAAATATGATAATTTCTGTCGAAATGATTAAAGGTGGCCAAAAAAAATAATTATAATGATCTAAATATGAATAAAATAAAAACAATAATTTTTACAGATTCGTTCCTGACTATGTCTATATATAATATAGTACTAATTACTTATATGATCTCTAAAAATAATAATGAGATGAACATTGCTATTTGAAAGCAGACCAAATACAGCCTCATGTTTGTGATGGAAGGAGACATGAAATGGTTGGGCAATCATCAAAAATTACAATCAAGATACCACTGGGATAACAAGCACACACATTTAAAAAATCTTTCATATATATTATATTATAAACCCATGTACACGGTATACAATTTTTACTACAACAACAAGAACAATAATAATAATAATAATAATAAGAGGCACATCATATCATCATATCAGATCATACGTGTAGATATCAATCATGTCTCTGCAAGTATACCTTCTAACCCCACCACATTTCTCATCTTCCAGTTCTCTCATTAATTATATATATATATATATATATCTATATATATTCAACATCAACTGGGTAGTTATCAGTAATCTTTGCTGGGTTCAACATATTAATATGTAATGAAATGAATGAATCTGGTGATCAACGGCTCTGATATGATGCAGGATGAAGAAGAATTTATTATGGGACAACTGACAAGTGGTTGAAGAAGATAACCCAAAAAGAGATTAAAAGAAAATTAAAAAAAGAAAAGAAAAGAGTGTACGTTTACAGTTGCTCTGATTTACAGACACCGTTGTTTTTTCTTTTAATTTTGTCAGTGTACCCGCACGTGCGTCTCCACGTGGAAGGTCTTCAAAGGCTCCAACACAAACACTGATGTCTGAATTTTTCAACCTTGTCAGATATTCCACGTGTTTTCCCAATTCTTTTGGGTCCCATTTCTTCTATCTTAATTTAACTTGCATGAATTTTTATAATTTCTTAGTAAAATTAGATGAGTTCTAATATTATATTTTACTTGTTATTTACCTTGAAATTGTCCTAAATCTAAGTTGTTGAACCTTTGGTTCGGTGTCTCACACAATTACTTTGCATTCGGTTGATTGTTATAATCTTTATTTCTAAGTTTTTAATCACAATCTTTTTAAAAATTTGTTCACATATTTTGAGGGTATGATTTCTTTTCATGTTATAATGCTACGATGATATATGGTGTGTCAATAAGTCATAAATATCATACGAGGGTGATGTTATTACGAATGATTTATAAAATCCTAAATATAAAATGTTATTAGAACTAAATATAATTTACATGCTGGTATGATGTTATTACATAGAGTATTTTAAGATATTTACTCTCATACATTTTAAGAATTATTTAGGGTTTGATTATTACCATTACTTCCTATAAAATATACCATGTTTAATTCACTGGGGGACATATCACATATGTCGATCAAGAAAGTCCACACATATCCTATGTATCTTATCAATGACTTTATTTTCAACATAATTAATCACAAAGTTATGAAAATACGTATGAAAATTGGAGTTTGTTCTAAAGGGAAAACCTATGATGGTGCCTCTTTTGATTATTTTAATATCTTTAAAAATATTTTTTGATTGGAGCATATAATAAGAATCCATCGTGGTATTTCTTCTTTAAATGCAATAGGCTCAGTTGAACTCCACATAGCTAGAATGAGGTGCACCCCAAGTATAAACTTATTAACGTAAACTATATGAAAAAGTATATAAAGTCCAACCAATTTGTGATTGGCTACTAGTATAACAAAGGGAGCAAATACATAGGTGCCATATCCTGTCATAAGGAGGATATTATTAGAATTTTCATTTGTGATTAAAAATAAAAACTTAACGTAATATTTTTAAGTATGTGATAAATTCAACATTTCAAATGGATAGGGTGATAATAAAACTCATGTAGAAATCAATATAACTATGAGGTTGGAATTTTAATTCACCAAAATACTTGAGGAGGCCATATAGAGATGGAAGATGACACTAATAAATTAGAAGATAATAAATTAGAACTTCAATTCAACTATAACATTAATGTAAACAAATTTGGTCTTAGAGACGATGA